TTTTCAACTAGTTCTTTTAGTCGAAACCATATGACACACTATAGAGTTGAAAAAGCTGGTTAAAACTATTCCTGCATGTAATTGTACATTAAAACTCCAATGTACAGCATTTGCATGATGTGTGATTTACTGATGAGAGAATTGTTGAATTATAAGCCTTAAGCTGACTTAAGAGTTAGTTCAATTAGTTTTTCCTTTTATTTTCTTTATGACAAGTGTAAGCTTCCTATTGGTTGCCTAGGTGAATGGCTGAGATCATCTTGTGATGTAAGAGATCCAGCTGCTGTGCATAACAATTATATCCCTCACACTATGTGTGTGAGGTTGTAAGAAGAACAGAGCTGTGAATGAAACTTTCTGCTGCTACACGTATAGCAGGCAGATTTTGATAATTCTTCTTGCCTCTTCCTCCTTTCATTTTCTTCTGCAAATTCTGAACGCACACACACCTGAAAACACTAACAAGTATTTCACGTGTTTGTTATTCTCCATAATCTGTCCCTGATATTTAAGGTACTCTTAACAGTCAACATTTATAACTGGTTTTTTGTCATTTAAGATTATTTATGTTGGGTTTAGGAATGGTTCTTTTTCTCTTTACTTAGAATTCTTTGACAATTCATAGAGAAAAACTAGTTTTTGATCATTTAATAAATTAATCACTTTCAGGATATGTTTTCTGCTGGGAGTGAGACATCAGCTACCGCTGTAGATTGGGCAATAACAGAAATGTTAAAAACTCCAAGAGTAATGAAAACGGAACAGAATGAAGTGAGAGAAGTGTTTAATAGAAAAGGACAGATAGATGAAACATCCATTGGAGAGATGAAATATTTGAACTTGGTTATCAAGGAGGCCCCCGGCTCCCCTGTTACTTCCAAGAGAATGCGGAGAGAAATGCGAGATTGATGGATACGAAATACCTGTGAAATCCAATGTAATCGTGAATGCATGGGCAATTCGTAGAGATCCCAATTACTGGAATGAGCCTGAGAGCTTTAATCCCAATAGGTTCCTCGATAGCTCGATTAACTACAAGGGAACAAACTTTGAATATATCCCATTTGGTGCTGGAAGGAGAATGTGAACTGGCGTGTCATTTGGTCTGGCCAACGTTGAGCTCCCACTTGCATTGTTGTTATACCATTTTGATTGGAAACTCCCCAATGGGATGAAGCATGAGGACCTGGACATGACTGAGGCCTTTGGCGCTGCAGTCAAAAGCTAGAAAAGACGATCTGCATTTGATTCCCATTCCTTATCATCCTCCGCCTATTGAAAAATCCCTATAAGATGCTTAACTGTTTGTATTTATCTGAGGGTAATCGTCGTTGTTTGTTTATGTTATCCTTGTAAGAACTACAAGGCCTAGTGTCTGTATTTAATTAAGAACCATGCATATTAACGCATTTTCTATCATCATGAGCAAATTAGCAGAAACACAAATACCAAAACTGGATAATGAGATGAGAGGTTCCCCAAATCTCCATTTCGTAAATTTGAATGCCTAATCAGTGCTGGGTTTGGATAATTTAGGGTTCGTCTTGTTCTACTTTTCTGCTATTTTTGGTATATTAGGACTTCCCTCTTTTTCTTCTTTTTTTTGGTCTGGTTGATATCCCGATCTTAACCAAAAAATAAAAACACAAAGAACAATATTATAGTCAATTACCAGAACAGAGGGCAAGCGGTATAGGACTTCTGAACCAGAATAATCACTCTGCAGCGTCACTCTAACCAAGGTCTAAAATACTGATGGTTTCGGAAATATTAGTAGTCCAAAAACATGGAAATTTCTATGGAAATATCGGGTTATTATCTGTATCAAGTTGTTCAAGTTGGCAATGAATCCTAAGTTTAAAATTTCCCATAAAAACTACTTCAGACACTAACAACTCAAAATTCAAATTTACAAGTTTACACTGAAATACTTAACTACTTCAGCATCTCAAGTATTTTTCCCCCTCTATTTCTTTTGCATACTTCCACGCAGGATCTTTTCGATTCATATCTATAAAACAATACAATTAATATTTCTAAGATACAAGTGTGATGCATGTACGTCAAAAAAAAACTAGTATATTTAAAACATATTGAAAAGAAATTATACGAAACTTCAAATTATAGTTTATTACAGTCAAATTATACAAGTATGATGCATGTACGTAAAAAAAAGTAATAATAAATAAGACTTACTTGCAATCGAAAGATGAAGAGAATTCTTGAAATTGATGGAGTTATCTGGCAAGGGTAGAAATTAGGGTTGTACACGTACTATACAATACAATATATATATATATATATATATATAGTCCATGTGTTAATATATTAATTTAGAGAAAAAAAAAAAAAAAGGTAAGTACAAAGCTACAGCCGGTTGGAGTTAGGAAAGAAAAAGAAATATATTAAAGATATTAATTCTTGCCTATTACAATAAGGTAAGGCAAAAACAAAAAAAAACTGAAACTTGTTTCGTTACAAAACAACGTCGTTTCACTATAAGATTGTTTTTAAAACTCTGCAACCAAAACGACGTCGTTTCGTTACAAACCTAAAAAAAATAAAAAATCAAGTCGTCTTCCTCGCGAGTTCATCTTCCTCAAAGAAAATTTGCAGACTTTCAATTCCTTCCGTTTCAGAAGATTCCAGATCTAGTACGCCTTGCAACGCTTTGCTCTGCCTAGCCACGCCTTCCCAGCGCTAAACGTGCAACTCACGAAACAGCCGGACGCCTCGGGCGTCTTCCTCCCGCCTCGCGCCGACGCGTGCGAAGGCATGCCTTTGAAAACACTGATCAATATATATAATAATCATTAAAGATACTTAAAGATAATCAAAACCTTGCATGCATTTGAAGGAAACAAAAATTTTCAGACAGGTAGGGAAAAAACCAGAAGAGGAAAACGCAAAACAGGTAAGATTGTTGAGGTGGGAGAAAGACATGGTTGTGTGATCAGAAGAATGCACAATGTACTTGACAGCTTTGCAACTCCAGAAAGGCAAGAGAGAGAGAGAGAGAGAGAGAGAGAGAGAGAGAGAGATAAATTAATTAATCAATACATGTACAACTGGCGAATTGGAGCCATGGGGATAAATTAAGTTGACACAACAGACCATACGGGTAGGGCCAAAAGAGGAAGCATCAACGACTACAGAAAACATACAACAGAAAAGATGCTAATAATATGAGCCGGCTCTATTCAAACCATTATTAAATATGAGTTTATACATTTGATGAATTATAATGCACATTTTTCACTTCACATTCTCACATGCTCCTGCACGTGTGACGAATTTTCAAGCCTAACACGTGAACAACATATTTTGAGTGACGTGGAGCATGACACGCTTTGATACCATGAACGAAGTTGAGATTCCATCCCAAAACCAATTGGCAATGGGGGAGTAGCGCCCAATACCTTATAAGCCCTTGCAAGTTTTTCTAACTTTTCAATGTGGGACATTTTTCACTTCACATTCTCACAATTATCTGCTTGGATATTCCAAAGGTTAAAAGTAAGTCATTCAACATCCACTATATTAATAGGGAGAAAATAAAAGAAAAACTTTTTGCCATGGACAAACGGAAGCAAAACGTCTAACTCCTTCATCAATCAAAACCCACCAAACCCTGCCCATTATTTTTTATTTGATCGTTTTTTGTTTCTTCTCTCATACACAAGCTTCTTTTTTTTTTTTTTCAGATTGATTAGTTGGTTAGGATTATTGTCGTTGTTGTTGTTGTTGTTGTTGAAAGGTTTTGAATATTCTTGATGCTTTTCATTGAACAATAATCGTATGATAATTATATACAGAGCAATCTCCTCACAATCTCCTCCTAGCAATTAGCTTTCTTGCTGTAAATCAAATTGTATTTATGTCTATATTATTTTCTGCCTTAACTAAACTTCCTATATTTATATAAATAGGGACTTTGTGTAAATTGTTTAATACAAGGAAATATATTCTCTACAAGAATCACATGACATGATTGTTGACGCAAGGTTATATAGGGGGCCTCGACATCATGAGTTTTCATCATCTCTTTGTCATACTCAGCTGATGAAATCAAATAACTGTGGTTGAAACTTCTCCAAGCCTCAATGCATAAGAGGTCCATATGTCTTGGTCAAGTCTCTTAGTTTATGATGGGGTAGAGAGCAAATGAGCTTATGTATGTTTCCTGTAAAGGGTAGCATGCATGGCCCTAGTGGTAGATTTGAAACGGAGTCTTTGCTTTTGCCTCTGTTCCCTATTTTCAGTACCAAAAAGATAAAGAGTATTTACATCTATGCATATATAACATACGATGTAGCTATGTCTTTTTCTGATGCAAAGATTCTGCAAACTTGGTTGGTATCTATTTCCTTTTATAATAATTACTATTGTTATTCTTCACGTGCATCGTTTCAGTTCTTTTTTTTACTAATAAGTCCAAGCCCACTAGAAATGAAGGACTCTGGCAAGTGTGTTATTAGTCCAACAGATAGTACACAGAGAAAGAAAATAGAATTCAACAATTGGCCAATCCGATGTATTATTTAATCGAGGATGTGTTGCCATGTGTTTTTCCTGGTGCTAAGATTCTCTCAACTCTCTACATACAGCAAATCTAGGAAATAAATACAAATAAACAGGAAAATAAATCCTTTAGGGATTACATCTCATTACACCCCCGTAAGTTGACTGGGCGGGGGAGCACAGGCAGCTTGGACTGAAGTAAAGAAAACGGAGTAGGAGATAGACCCTTAGTAAAGATATCAGCAATCTGATCAGCGGTAAAACAATAAGCAACGCGCAACTCATTGTCCCCCCACCTTTTCACAAACAAAATGATAGTCAACCTCGACATGGAAAGTGTGAGTGTGAAAAACAGAATTAGTTTCAAGATAGAGAGAGAGAGAGCACTAATATTATGACACCAAAGCTTAGGACAAGGAACTGGAAGATCAAGATCAAGAAACAAGGCGGCAGTGTAGGCAATCTGGCAGTACTCGAACTCAGTACTGTAGCGGGGAGACACCGCGTTGCTTCTTTGAGCTCCAAGAAATTAAGTTAGTACCGAAATAAAAGCAATAGCCACTAGTGGAGCGACGATCATCGAGATCCCCCACATAATCGGCATCAGAATTGGCATTGAGATAAAGAGTTCTTGGCGAATAGAGTAACCCATGAATAAGCGTGACATTGACATAATGGAGAATGCGCATAATAGCCAGACAATGAATAGTATTGGGTTTATGCATAAACTTACAAACTTGATTAACAGCAAAGGCAATGTCTAGGCGAGTAAGGGTTAAGTACTGAAGAGCACCAACAATACTAAGGTACTCAGTGGGATCAAACAGAAGAACACCATCAGAGATGCTAAGACGACAACAACTGACAACCGGTGTAGGCATGAGTTTGGCTTCGTGCATGTTAGCACGCTTGAGGAGATCCACAGCATATTTGGTTTGAGTAAGAGATAGAATGGACGAAGTACAAATAAGCTCCATGCCCAAAATATAATGAGCGGGCCCAAGATCCTTCATAGAAAATTGAAAACCATTAGCCACTAAGCGAGAGTTGGAATGATGAATAAAGCCAACCGAATTTCGCTTGACACGAAAAACCCACTTATTCGGCAACACATTCATAGTGGAGTACAAGGGACTAAATTCCAAGTCCTAGCACAAAGAAGAGCATTAAACTCATCAGCCATGGCAAGACACCATTCCTTATGCTTATTTTAACCTATGAAAAAGATGTAAGCTCAACAGTACCATCAGTAGAAGATAAAACCAACGCATGATAAGCATATTTAGGATTGGGTTTATGGATACCGGTTTTAGCAAGAGTAACTATCAAATAAGTAGGGGAGGCACTTACTAGAGACGTATCAGAAATAGGAGGAGAAGATGTACCAAATGAAACAGGTGCTGCGGTTTGGGTTCCTAGTTAGGTATGAGAGAATCGAGAAGCTAAAGGTGCAGCGGGACTAATCGACAGGTGAGAAGGGCATGAGGAATCAGTTGGAGGCATGATTGGGGAGTTATGGATGGGTGATGGCAGATATGGATGAGGCAGGGCTAGAAGCACGGGTTACTGTGGATGCGGGAAGGTCAGGAGCTAGAGAAGGGTGACTGGGCTGAGGTTGTGATGCTAGAAGGTGTGGGTTGCAGGAAGAGAAACGCGGGCCAAGAGGATGAGAGGTGGGTCTGACGACGAAGAATGGTTTGGAGCAGGAGTAGCCTGAGCCTTATTAAATGAAAAAGAAAATTCATCAAATAACAAATGACGCGATAAAAAAACACGATTGGAAACTAGATCGAAGCACCAATAACACTGATGGTTTAAAGAAAAACTAAGAAACACACATTTAAAGGACCGAAATTGGAATTTATTACTATTATATGGCCGTAAATAAGGAACATATGCGCACCCAAAAGTTTTTAAAAACGAATAATTAGGTTCTTTTTGAAACAAAATTTCATAGGGTGATTTGTGCTGAAGCAACTTAGAAGGAAGACGATTAATGAAATAAACGGTGAGCATTGCCTTTGCCCCATATGGAGGAGGCATAGAAGCATGGGCTAAAAGAGTGAGCCCGACGTCAACAATGTGACAATGCTTATGTTCAGCTAAGCCATGTTGCTTAGGATGATGTGGACAATAAAGATGATGATGAATGCCATGATGAAATTGAAAAAAATCCTGAAATTGATGACTAGCGTATTCCCCACCCCCCATAGGATTGAAAGGCCTTAATCATAGTAGAAAACAGATTTTCAACTAAAGTTTTAAATTTAACAAAGTGAGAGAAAACCTTTGATTTCAATGTCATCATAAAAATCAAAGAACAATGAGAAAAATCATCAAAAAAATAAAACATAATAATTAAAACCAGCAATAGATTCAACTCCACACATCAAAGTGAATAAGTTTCATCGGAGAATAAGAGATAGAAAAAAATGGACTAAAGGGTAGTTTAACACTTTTACCCAACGAACATGATTGATAAAAAGAACTAAACATATAGCCCGAAGATGGCAGTTTATTATGTGATAACAAAAATTGCAAAGTAGATGAAGTAGGATGACCAAGGCAAGAGTACCACATGGAGCGGTCAACGCGGACACCTAGTAAAGCAACATGATCAGGCAAAACTTGAAAAGACTGATTTTCTATAAAAGAAAATGGATATAGGCCATTGCTACTCTAGCTCCAGAAAGGCGTCTTCCTCGTCGCCAAATCCTCGATAAAATAACAATCAATAAAAAAAAGTGAAGAAACAATGGTTGTCAGTAGCAAATTTATGAACAGATAAAAGAGGAAGAAAAAGGACAGTGAAGAACATCATTAAGGTTGAAAGAAGAATTATTGTGAGAGAAACGAGAGTGACAAATATTTTCAATAGGCAAACCGGTTCCACCAAGTACACCTCCAACATTGTCGGAACCATGATACTCTCTAGCAAGGGATAAGTATCTCAATTCGTTGGTAATATGAGTGTTAGCACCGGTATCAGCAACCCATTGTTGATGGCCATTGTGCGAAGGATGTTAAGCAGTCATGCCTTGAAGACGAGATGGAGGTGAAGGCACAGAAGAAGCCTTGAAAGGACAGACAGCAGCGATGTAGCCAAAACCATGACAATTGAAATATTAAATAGGCCCACGGGTAGAAGGAGGCCCAAAAGAGGAAGGAGTAGAGCCAGAAGGCGGTGAGCCAATAACACTAGGCCCAAAAGCACTGTCGAGGCACTGCTGATGTGGACCCGAGCGAGGAGCGTTGACAGGACCCGCCTCGAACTTCCCGAAACCCGAGGCGAACCCTGCGGAGACCCCGACATCACACCTGCGCCGGGTTCACTCCTTAAAACTATGTCCTCATTTACCATAGAGGATTTAGGGCACGAGACTTTCTGCCAAAATTTCTGCAGAGTCTCCCCTGTAAATTGAACATTTCCCCAAAATTTCCACTTGCATAAAATACATTTTATAACCCAACCGGCAGCACGCACAATATAATCTCATGCAATTTACAAATGGCCTCCGGCCTTCAAATGATTCTAGCAGAACTGCCCACAATGTTTTTAAAATAACTTAATGCGTCAAACATGCATATAATAAATTCAAAATCTATTTATGCACACCTTCACTCACTCAGTCTACAGGACCAATCTCAATTCAATCAAGTTTCAGGACCAACAACAAGGTCCGAACCAATCTCAATAATACCACCTAAGTGGGGTCTAATCTGTGGCTGCACCTAGTAACTTTAGGCTGCCTACGTACCCTACTAAGGAATCAAGCCACACGTAGCTCTTTCATATCTATCCTGGCTCCTAATATCGAATAAACCATTACCGCCATACAATTTCATATATTCTAGGATTTAATCATCACAACTCACCAAACACAATCATAATATCTCCCCATACGCCGGAACATCCAAAATTACGTCTGGGACCTATCTGCACGCCGGATAAACCTACGACACATGAGAACTCATCAACATATCACATAATCCCCTCATACGACGAGACGCACCCGGCCTCGTATGGGGTCTGTCAGCACGCCGGCTAATCCAAAGACGCGTGCGACCTCACACTGGGCCTGGCTACATTCTCACCAGCCCTCATACTGTCCACTTTGGCCTGGCTACATTCTCACCAGACACACGGGTTTAAAGGCCTCAACATGATCACAATATGGGGGGGGTACGTGGGGTAGTGCGTATAGCACTGTAAGCTAACATTCGATCGCTTTATTTACCTTTATACATCCACACAATTAATTATATAAAATATAATTTCTACTACTAAATAAACCTCAACCCTGATATAGCATCTGATAATTCCGCAATTTAAATCATATAATAATATCCTAAATTCACGTATAAACCATTTAACTCAACAACGCTCAAGACCTGTCACTAAGGTCATTCTAACCCTCCTGGGATGATAGAACTACAAC